GCTGAAACCATACTTGGCATGTTCTTTCCGATGGAGCATAATTGCCATAAGCTTCGAAAAGCAATTTATGAGCTGCAGCTGCAGTTTTTTTTAAGTCAAAGTAATAAAGCAGCACATGTCGAAAAAACAACTTATCGCGTTCCATATTTAATCAAAAAAAAAATAGCACTGCTCGCTTAAATGAATCTCTTCGCACTGAATTTTATTGACAAAAGTCTAACCTCTAAAATGCAGCCAATTTCAGATGTCAAAATAAATTACACCTACAACTAACGTCATCTAACTGTGAGCCGCAGGAACTAAGTTTACCACCTAATATATATATATATTTTACATTATTATTATTTTATTCTTTTTTTAATATTCTAAGAACATTTTTATAATATGCCAAGAATATTATGTGAAGTGGACATATAACATCAATAGAACATTCCTATAATATTAAAAAATATTATATAACATTCTTAGAATGTTATAAGAATATTATTTTAATATTGAACAATATTCATATAATATTCTAGGAATCTTACGCGCTTATAGGCTCTATTTCTTATAACTTGTGTATTTAGAGCGTTTAATGCTTAATGCTAGTAACTGATAGTTAATCTTCAAAAATGTCTAATAATCACTAATATGAAAATGAAAGTCAGCTTGAGCCTACCGATAATTATCGTGAAAATGATAAAAATGTTAATAATAATAGTAGATAGATTCATTAGAAAGTATATAATAAAAATAACAATCTCGTTTTTCAAAATTCTTACATCTTATTCTCTATTCCTTATATCGTGTTTGAAACTATAGCTTACTTCCAGTATCTTATACCTAATTACTTATATTTAATTCCTTATTCCTTTTATTGTGTCCGTAAACGAACGCTTGTGAGAGAAACTTCATCGATTCTATTCAGTTCACCGGAGACGGATTCACGTCAAACTCTTCTCAAGACACTTTGCAAAATGTTCAACTTTGACAACCAACTCACCGTCTCCATTTTCCGTCTAAAAAATCGCCCTTTCTTCTCACAGGCGTTCATTAATTTTGCAAAAAACGGAAAACATGCCATACGGGCCTGTATTATTATATACCTGGGCGATTTGTATTTATCCTTCTGCGCCCCAGAGAAGGGCCTCACGTGTCCACCGACCATGTAATAGTGCAAAGTATCGGGTATGCTCGCAGGTAGGTCCGTTCCACCGCCGGAACCAAGTATGACTAAGCCTAACGCTAATCCCGCCGTCAAGGAGTACGATTCGCGGTCCACGCAGTTCTTCATCTCCGGTCCCGGTGGTCTACCTGCGAAGGCGAATCTGCCGTGACGAAATTTCGCGGCATTCATAGCGGTGTTACGCGCAGTGATTACCGATCTCAGACAATAAAGCGTGCGAGATGTGTCTGTGGGCGGTCCCTTGGTACACGAGGCCGACGCCCATCAGCGCCGCTACTTGAACGTTCTGTTGCACGTTCAACTCGATGCTGGTCGGCGGCAGAAGCGTCTCCACGTGTAACGACAGCAGCTTGGTCATGGACACGTTCATCGTGCCGCGATGCGTCGCTGACAAGCCGAGAAGCAGTCCGACGCTGGTAGCCTCGTGACAATCGACCAGATACTCGTACGTACTCAGGGGAGCCAGGTTCTTCAAATGTCCGTTCAAACCGAGGCCCATCAGGAACCCCGAATGCTCCACTCCGTATTCGCCCTGTTGCTGCTTGTTGTACACTATCCACGTAGAATCGATGTTCGCGGCGTCCGGATGAATGCACAGGCCCGCGGCCACACCGTTGTGAAACAACGGCCACAGGTTCATGTTGGGGGGAACGTCTATGTGAGCTAGCTCGACGGTAGTCCCACGTGGTGGTGCCTTACCTGAGAGCGGATGAATCTCGATTGGTTGATCATTTATTGAAAGCTGCGTGAAGTGCACAATTCCATCTTTCTGAGATGACTTGGCTTTTACTCTGACTTTTGTTGCTATTTGATTGTGAATCTTGAAAGCCTCTACATTTATACCTGTCAAAAAGTTCGCCTTGGAAAGATGGAATCGTGTTCTGCGCTTCACGGCTAATTTTTGACAGAAACTACGTCGACACTTACAAGAATACGAACTTGTTAAAATTGTACAGCGTAATTCATAACGTACCGGTTAAACACAGTCGTGGAATAGGCAATTGTTCCGTTATCATCGGGGTGGAAGTCCTGAGCGTGAACATGCCTCTGGCTACAGGCAATGCCATTGTTCTCGTGCACAATGTGTGCAAATGTCTCTCCTGCTCCTCTATAAATTCGTGATCGCTCACGTTTGATCTCTGGACTATAGCTATCCTCACCGGTTTCGAGGAATTCAGCAGCCTTCGCACTTCAGTGACTCGATGATCCTTACTGAATCGTAACTTTAGTATCTGTAAAATCGAAATATAAGTTATAGTCTTTCGTGTACGAAATGTATTAGGTAACATAGCCCGCTGGTGTCTAATTAATAAATTTAAAAAAATGTAATAAAATTAATTAATGAATATATATATATATTTTTTTTTTACAGTCCGCGCGTTCCACGTGAAATTGTCGCGTTCGCTGATTTAAGCAAATTGAATCTATGATTCATACTTAGCCGTACTTTTTTCTGTTGTAAGTAAAGTTTCTCTCACAAGCGTTCATTTAGGGTCCAGATACAATAAAGGAATAAGGACTAAGGAATTAAATACGGGTAATTAAGAATAAGATATTAGAAGTAAGCTATAGTTTAAAACACAATAAAAGGAATATAGAATAAGATATAAGAAAGTTTTAAAAAATAAAGTTATTATTTTTACTATATACTTTCCAGTGAATTTCTACTGTCCAATGAATTACTATTATTATTAACATTTTTATCATTTTCACGATAATTTTCGATGGATTTAAGCTGACTTTCATTTTCATATTAGTGATCATTAGACATTTTGAAGATTAACTACCAGTCACTAGCACCAAGCATTGTAAGCATACAAGTTATAAGGAATAGAATTTCGACATCGTTCCTCCTCAATTTCATATTCTTTTATTGTGGATTGAAATATGATTGTCTATATATCGAAATTTAATTTCCTGATTTAAGTTCCTAATTCCCTATACTTAATTATATAAGAGGACTTGTTAAAATTAAAGCACAATGGCTTTTTCGATCGTACATTTCATATTTCTCTTACCAATGAATACAACAAATTCAATGTTTGAATTTGGTTTTGTTTCAGAAATAATTTTTTTTTCTAACTGAGAAAAATCAAATGTAAATATATTGATTCTTCAAGACTACAAATATCGTTTTTAGGATTTCGATATGATAAAACACAATGTAGATTTTATTTTGCGTATTATCTGTCGCGATTGACTGAAAGAAATTCTGTATACCTTCTGGAAGATGCGATAATATAATCGAGAATTGATGGAGAATTTCCATCGGATCTATTAATGAATATTTTCTCGTGTATCCTTCAATTATGTCGTTCATAATTATACTCGTTACTTTACAATGCTTGACTGTGCTGCTCTCTCGTTTGCAATATCTTTAATATTACACCAAGAACGCTTTATTTTTGCTTTTCTCCGCGCATCCACCTCCAATTATCGATATATGTCGTGTATCGTTAATATCAATATTCTGACATCGCGACATTACCGTATCGTCGAATCCCATGCCGTCGTCTTGCTCGGGATCCTTCACCGTGTAATTCTTCGTCTCGCCGTCAACGTACTGACGTGACTTCGCTGGCTTCAGATGTCTGTCCAGCGCAGCTAAATCCTGACGGTCTATGAGTTCATACGCGCGCATAGGCCAGTTCGACGGCGGGCATTCCCTGCATCTGTGCATAACGTCTCTCATTATCAGGGACACCGCGGGTGGCAGTGTCTCGAGATCCTGCTTCGTCATATCTGCAATGAAACCAACCTCGTTTTAGCGTTTTCCTCTCCGGGAGGAAAGAACGACGTGCGATCTTACCCATTTCGTGGTATAGCAATATTATTTTATCCGCCACAGGCTTCTCCGACCTCTTCAGCATCTCCTTGTCGGACTTGCCGCTTTCCTGAGGATCAATGCGACTCCCAGCCGGCACGATCAACTTGATATACCTCTCCATTTCCACCGCGTCCCCCGTGCGATTCTCATTCGCTACAAGCGCCATTATGTATATCAGATTCCTCGTTCTCGGGTTAACGTGGCTCAAATACGGGTACGTGACCGTGCCTATCCCATTCAGCATGTTGTCCATCGTCTCGAACATGTCCGGCGGCTTGCGAGGTATGTAACTCGGGATCGTTATCTTCTGTAGGTCCGCGTCGCTGATCTGGGACGTCTGGCTTCTTAGGTAGTACAGCGAAGGTGAGTCGAGGAAGTAATGATGAGCGTACATCTCGAACTTCAGGTCTATACTCAGCTGATAGAGGAGCTGTCCGAGCAACGGCAGGCTCTCCGATACAACGCTGTTCAATTTCAGCTCCTCGTACAGCAAATGAAGGGAGAAGAGAACGAGCGGGAGGTGCGGGAATAGAACGGCCTGCGCGTTTATCCTGCCGGCACTGCTCGGCTCCACGGTATCTCCAGGCGTTGTGCGAAAAAAGCCGGATATCTTCCGATTTTTCAGTACATTCAAGATGGACGCCTGCGAGTTCTTGTATTCGCTTGAATTCAGCAGGTGCAGCCAGTCGTCCGTGGAGCCGCAGTTGCTTGTCTTTTGCTTCTTCGGCAGCACCATGGGACTGTTACGGTCCGCGAACTGATCCTTCTCGTTGTTCCGTATTATATGCAACTTTTCCACGTCGTATCCCGATAACGTGAACAAAACCACGAGAAAGAGACCCCACTCGCGCGCCGGCGAAAAGTCCTGCGGGCCAGGAGCATTTCTAGCGCCGTACCATTTTACCAACAATTCCATGGCCAGATCTTTCTGGAGCACGCTTCGCAATGTGTGTAAGCATTTAGTAACTGCAAAGAGTGCGTGCGATATTAATTATTGACTAACTTCTTTTGACATTTCAATCGAGATATTTCTGTGTTAAATTAAAGCAGAGCGACATGTTAATAACGCTCGCAGAGCGAGAGAAAATTAACACATTTCGTGCCGCGTAGTCCAAGGTGACATTTGTGACATTTGAGTTTTAAAACGAAATATTTGTCACCATGAAGTATTTGCAATTTTTATAATTGTTATCTATTTTATTACAATTGTTATAAATTTTCTCTTTTGTAGAAATTTTATAACAATTGTGATATGAAATTTAAATTGTAATAAAATAGGTTACAATTATAAAAATTGTAAATACTCAATTATTATGAGACACGCGTTATTTGACAAATAAAATATGTCTATATAATCAAGTGAAGTAAGAAATGTAAATATAACAAGCAAATAAGAGTCTAATATCGTCGATGTAATAACGAATGTATTGTCAGTAATTTATACTAATACGATAATATTTAAAATCTTTCGTACGTTTCCAAGACTTATTCCAGGCCATTATCGGCGAATTAACAATTATAATTTTAATACAAAAAAAAGAAAGGAAAAGAACATACGTTATAGGATTCTTATAAAAATTAATAATAAATAAATTAGTAAATTAGTAAAATGTAGTTAAAAAAATATAGTAAAAATGTAAAAAAATGTAGTAAAATTAATGAATAGAAAATTAATAAATTAGTAAAATAGTAGTAAATTAATATATAGAAAATTAGTAAATTAGTAAAATAGAAAATTAGCAAATTTTCAGAAATTTGGATATTATGCTCGTAATTTATTTATTTAAATAAATTACGAACTTTGCTTATTATCATAAAATTTCCAAAGCTTGTCTATCCGATCGCTTTTGATCGCTTCTTTATACAGTGTAATCTTCAAGCGATGAGAAACGAAAATGATTTGAGCACTGAGTATTCAAATATTCGTAATCTATACCACGATAACCACTAACTTGCCAGAACGACAAATGTATTAAATATAATGGTAATAGATATCTCGGGGACATTCAAATTCGAAAATTTATAATAATATTGCCGTGCATATGTATCGTTCGAGCTATCAGCATCCGATTGTAAATGTAAACCACGTAGTTGTCGTTTAATAAAAATCATCTCAGAAATACTTCTCAGTTTAAAATAAGACTATTCTTGATCTAGAATCTTCACATTCTCCCGATCAAATTCATGGTTACAAAAGAATAAGTTAAAATTATAATCGTTAATTCGCTGAGGATGGCCTAGAATAGGTCCGAAACGTACGAAAGATTTTAAATATTATTATGTTAGTATAAATTATACTGGCAATACATTCGCTATCACATCAGCGTCTTATTTGCTTGTTATATTTACATTTCTTATTTCACTTGATTGTACATCACCAGAGGCTTAATCTCTTGTATTAAAATATGGCCCATAACGCAACATAGGGTAACTGTTGATCCACATTGTACGAGCGACGAGCCACGTAAAATTGGTCCGAGACGGGACGTGTTGATGTGAAACGAACAAAACCCAAGAGCTCTGCTTACCTAAGGGAGATGTGCTGGATATGGGTAACGTGATGCGAAAGTATTGCCTGTTGCCGCATTCCACGGTTAGTTGATTGCCGACCGCCTCTTTCAGCGTGTCCAAGCTCGCATCCAGCAACGAATTTTCCAAGAGTATCGGCGGACGAGCACAATTACCGCCTACGGGACTGAGTGAATGCAAGACTTCCTCAAACTTGATCTCGTGCGAAGCGGTGCAGCTCTGTGAGATCAGAGAACTCCTTCTCGGGAACGGGGACTCGGACTTCGGCACGCTGTTCGACAGGAAATAATTGTTCCCCGCGAGATTGGAAAGCATGCCGGATATGTGTAACTTGCCCACGCATGTGACTCCCGTGTACAATACTATATTATTTGACAAATCTACCGTCGCTACCATATTCAGATTCTGAAAAGAATACGTTTTCCCTTGTAAGACTGGATTTAGCGTGATGCGCGACGCAATGTGCGACACGCGACGTCCAATGAGCCTGCGGCTTTTTTGGAAAAGCAATACGTTCATTGGATATCGCGTGTCGCATATTGCGTCGCTGGCTCTGCGAGAGCCATAAGAGCATCAAGTAACGTTAAATCGACGGACTCGACTCCAAACTATTAGGTGTATAAATTAATTCGGCGCCTTTGCATTTAACGTCCTGTAACACTGCATCAAATTTAAATTTTTTTCCCGTCCTATGGTGATTTGAAAATGCCAGCCTTGGGCTTTAAAAAACACTATAATGGTTGACGGCCTTGTCGATACAATCTTAGAAAACAGTAGTTATCACGATGTTGTTCAAAAAGAAGCATCAGAAGTAGCACATCCTTTTTGTACTCCAATTGAATAAAAATGCTGCAGTCTATCGAAATGATTTGTTCCGCTTTGGGTGAAAGTGCTGTGATCCATAAAACTTGTGAAAAGAGCTTTTACCAGAAATGGAATTTGCTACACGATAACGCGCAGTCACATCGCTAAAGGGACGAAGGATCTCATCTATACATTAAGCTGGGAAATTCTCCCTCATGCGGTTTATTCGCCAGATTTGGCGGATTTGTCGGATCACCGCCTTTTTTGGTTACTTCATCATCTGGCAGATACGCATTTTAAAACAGTCGACGAGGTTCGAAAAAGCGTTGTTGACTTTATTGACTCAAAACCGCCAAATTTTTTCCACGAAGGCATTCATCAGCTAACCGATATATGGAATAAAATCATAGAAAAGAATGGAAATTATTTCGAGCATTAAACTTGTATTTGACTTTTTGTAAATAAATTTTGAATTTCATGAAAAAGGCACCGAATTAATTTACCTAATACATCTAATAGTTACATGCACGTCTAATCGACATGTACCAACCGGTAAGCTAACAGCATCCTTAGCTGTGATGCTCGTCACCATTCCAAAGATGATCCGTTGTTGTTTATTGGTCTTCTCCAGTCTGACTAAAAAGAACTGTGAACGATTTGGAACTAAATAGCCCAAATAACTTTGCCCAACCAGATCCGACGTTAGAAGAACCTTCGATGCACGACCGTAAACGATGTCCCTGAAGGATCAACGAAAGAGAAATCAGAACGTATCGTAGCGTATAGGACGTTGAAAAATCTTGTGTATCTCGGCGTGAAGGTGAAAAATATCCCCATCGTCCGAAATGTTTTCGTCGGAAATTCTAAATTCTAATTTTTAATTTTAATTTTCTCCCATTCATTTCTCAACGTTGCTTTTTCAACGCCCTGCATGATGCGGCATGTGTTTTTAAATTTACTTCTTACCTAAAACCCAAAAGAATTGGAGACACGGGAAATATCTGGAAGAGGAAGTTGAAGGTATACGCGCACGGGTGAATTCTCTGGGATGGAAACAACACCAGCCGAAAGGAAAGCAGAAAGACTTGACGGTGAAACGACGGTAAGATTCTCCGATTAATTTTCCGCATTATCCGAGTGCTAAGCGAGTTTCTCTTGAAGGAAACGTACGCGATACGTGTGGACGTAAAAATCGTTCTATTAGGTATACAAATTAATTCGGTGCATTTAATGTCCTGTAACTCTGATTCAAATTTAAATTTTGCTTTCCTATAGTGATTTGAAAGCGCCGAATTAATTTGTACATCTAATATATTGGTTGCAAGTCGATCGCACCATTGACGCTGCCGATTGGCTGTCGCGACAAGATTTGCAATCGACTAGCAACTAACGGCTAGAACGACTTTGAAGTGTGTGAGAAGATCGATGACTTACTTCGACACGCCCGAGCTTTCCGTCCATACGTGATCAAGGCAGATCTCGGGATATAAAGGTTTGCCCACCACGGCAACGTCCTTCAGTTGGATGCTGTTGTAACTGCCCATCGGACTACCTATGTTCTGCGTTTGATTCAGAGCAGTCACCATGACGGTCTGGTGTAATCTGTTGTTGTAGATGCTCGGATTGGTCGGTGCCCCCAGCAAAGGGGACAGAGCCGAATGTGTGGGCGACTGACAGCGAGAGATGGTGGCCATCGAACTCTGCGAGCGCGACTGTTGCTGCTGCTGCGAGGGCGACGGCCCGCCAGAGCAAGTGGTGTTGTAAGAGGCGGTACGCGACCCGAACGGAGTATTGGACAACCCCAGGCCTATGTTACCGATGTTGTTTATCTGCAAATTCGCAGCTCCTCCTGCAAAAATGCTCCTTGTATTATCTGCTAATCGCGTCTATCGCGGCTGACTATACACAACTGCGCGCGAATATTTCCTCACCGAAGATACTCAGATGCCCTTTGTTGACCAAACTTTTGTTAGCGGACAGATTACCGCCGAGATTCAACGGTGATGCGTTAGTCGAATGATTCAGCAAACTGAGCGTCGTCTCGTTGGTCCCGCAAACCATCTGACACTCTTCCGCCAACGCTTTGCGGATCTTATATACAGAATGCAAGCCGGACTTCGTGTCATATACCACCGCCAAAGATGGTTCCGAACTGGTGAATATAATCTGCTGGTTCGAATCGCTCATATATGATACAGATCCTGAAACAACATCAGAACAATGACAAAATTATGAATATTTTCGAGAAGAACCTATAAACTTTACCGATGATCTTTATTGGTATTATTCACCTGCTCACACGGAAAAAGTACGCGTTACTTTTATAATTTATTATTTTTTATAATTTATTATTTTTTATAATTATTATACTTTACGATTAATTAACATATGAGAATGTCTCTCACCGTGCTTAATAAGTAGAGGACAAATCTCGTCCAATGGGTGCATCAATGAAAAGGCTATTGGTAAATTATTTTCGTTTTGTGACGGTAGTCTGCTGCTCTCGAATGATACATATCTAAGAGCAAAAACAAAAAAAAGAAAAGAACGTACAAATTTCTTATTTCTCTGTATTATGTCAAATTTAAGGCGAATTCTATACCTCGACTCTGTAACTGGAGGGAGTACTTGACACTTTTCCAATATAATCCCATATTTTGTTGGCCATACAGCAGAAACCTGTCGTCAATTAATTTATTTGTAAAATTGCGTGACAAAATAATATTCCTTATTAATTTACTGTTATAATTTTGCTACTAATTACTCCTTTTAAAAAATATTAGTAACCTTGTTTTTAATAGGAAACAATTCTCAATAACATTTGTAATAAATCTTATAAATAAATAAAATATTATACATTTTTTGACGACATCGATTTGTGTAAATTTTACCTGAAATTGTAAAGTAGAAATGTAATCTTCACCGCTCTCTGTGAAAACCTTTAAAGTATACGTATCAAGTAAACAAACACATTCTATAGATTTGCCAATAGACCTTTCATCCTCGTATTCTTTACCCTTAGTCATATGATCTGGAATACTTGTATGAAATTTACACCAGAGAGCATGCTTAATATCTGTCTCACATGTGTAAGTTGCTTTGAGTATTCGAGTAGTCTGATTGCCTTTGCAATGAACCGCCACTTTACCCGAATAGTACAATTCTTCTTCTCCGCATGCTTTGTTGTCGCGTACCAACCATTTCTCTTTCTATATCAATATAATTTTATCATAAACATGTTAATACATACATATATATATATATATATATATAATATTAAACACAAACTGTATAGAGAAAAAGTAAAAACTTAAAATATACGAATTAAATAGAGCTTATAAAATTCTTTTGTTTTTTCTTCTCTTCTTTTTTCAAATTTGTGCTTATTATTTCAAGAACTTACAGGAGACTTTTCCGATATATTCACTTCACTGAATCTCTTTAATAGGATATTTTCTCCTCCAGCAGTTCGATTATTAGATAATTGTTGATTAATTAAGGATCCAGGATGCCTTGAAATTATTTGTCGGCCTCCTGGAATATATTCCTAAAAAAAAAAACACAAGATATATTAAAGTATTTATTTTATTATTATTAGATTGAACTCTATATTATATTAAAACAATTACTAAATCTCTTGTAACCTATATAAACTAATACATTTAGAGAGTTAAAGATACGAATGAAACATTTTTTTCCTTTCTATGAGATGCTTCAAGTTTCGCTAGAAAGGTTAGAGCGTTTTAATGTGGAATCTTTATAGGTTATAACGGAATATTGCAAGAATGACAATTTCTATCTATGATCCTGCGTAAAAATATGTTTAATTAGCTCTTATCGATATTTTTCAGTTTATTAACGAATTAAATTCCATTAAGTTTGATTAGAAAGCAAATAATCACAAGTTTCGTTGTATATTTACCACCGGTTCTGAGGCGGCGATCATTTTCTCCCTGGTTTCATCCAGATTTGCTGACTATGTTGATGGATATACGAAGGAATAACACTTCCCAATTGTATTCTTATATAGTTGCATGTACAAACAGTACAAAGTCAAATCACAGGAGTTTAGTATAAAGATCATATACAAGGGTAAACTACGCCATATTTATCGGCGTAAACCACGGAGATTAGCATTAATTGAATATAGGTATGTTCGTTTTCGCTGCACCGCTGAACTAATGCAAAAAGTTGAAGCGAGACAAGTATATAGGTCTGTTTCTTTTCGCTACACTAAAACTGCACTAGATATCTTGCCATCTTAAATTCATCCTTATGGTATGTTTGGACATTTCTGCTGTGTATATGTGTGTGTGTGATAATATAATATTAACAATTTTTGAAAATGGAGTAAAGAAGATGTTTCACACATTTCAATATAATGCAAGCCACATACCTGATAGAGACTTTTCGTATAAATTTCCGTTACGCTTACATGCACTTCCAAGCTACACTTTCTTGTACTGCACTGACCACACTATCTCCTGACTCAGTGCAACAGTTCACTGAACTGCCCGCACTACATGCTGTTGCACTGCGAAAACGAACAGTGTTGATGACGTCATGATAATGTCATTCTCGATAAAAAGAACGCTTTAGTGTAAACCCCTTGCACTGGTGTGCACTAGTGCAGAAAGTGTTTCGAAAAAAAACAGACCTCTTATAAGATTTATAGATCCGTATTTTTTTGTTATTGCTTCATTTTTTTCAAAATAGATTTCATCTTATTTGTTCTCACGGGGTACGTGTCCATTCTTTCGCGTTTTTCCTATTCCCATACCCAGTGTCTGAAGCGAGCGTCCGGTAATCCGAACATCTCCTCGGGGACGACGATTTTATTAGGGAGGGAATCCCTCTGTATAACCCCTAACAGTAAAGGCGCATCTGGGAAAACTTAGCCGGTCCAGCTTCCCGGGCCTGGAGTTTGGGCGAAGCTCTAAAAAAAAAACGCCCTGGCGACCGTGTACGGGCAACGGGATCCGTGGGGAAATTCACTTCTAAAGGTTCAAAGGGATCTGGAGGACTAAACGTCGATGTTTTCACTCAGCTAGTGACATCCGGTCACAATATCAGACTATAGATTGAGGATTCTTCTTGAATTGAATTTGGCCAATCAGTGCAAAGGTAACTGAATTCAAATTTAGTGAAATTTAGTGAACTTAGCACTGATTGGTCAAATTTCAATTCAAATTCAATCTTTAATCCGTAATCTGATACGGGCTTAATAGGTGCTTCAAACTCTAAACCTCAGAAGAAGAAATTGACCAATCACAATTGAATTATAGAAAAATAGTCAATTGTGATTGCTCAATTTCCGAATGCTTAGAGCTTAAATTCTCATTGTAGATCCCGCTTTAGCGCACATCAAAAGCGTCCCGATTGACTACGTTGCAATTGACCACTTCGAACCACAACCAGCTGTGATTTGGTGTTTTTCTAATGTCGGCAAATCGGTGTAGCCCGTGGTCAGTAGAGACGTGTGGTGCTTTCCATTTGATGACACAAGTCGACACAAGCATCATCCTATCTTTGTTACTCATTGAACGCGGACAAAAACAAAATGATGTTTGTTTCGACTTGTGTCACCAAATGTAAAGCACCAATGGTCAATCGGGTAAATTCCAACTACACACATCCATTCACATTGGCCGGTGTTTAGAGTCTTTCCGCTGAACCACCAATTAGGAAATTTTATATTAAATTAGCCAATCACCTATGTGGAGTATCAGAGTTTGCCCGTTACAAGTCATTTTCGCTACTTTGCATTACACAAAATCAACGAACATAAGTGGTTTGTTCTTCTTAGCTACACTGCTAGACTGATGCAATAAGCTAAAGCTAAAATGATAAATATACCTGTCTCATTTTAAGGGAGAATTCACATTTTGACAGAAAAGCAGAAAGCTGAGGAGTAGCAGCCAATCAAAAATCGCGCTGATGGTCGACAGTTTCTGCTTTATCTACCAGCGCGAGTTCTGATTGGCAACTGTTTTTCCACTGCCAAGGCGTAAATTCTCCCTAAAAGCATTTTCTAGGATGGTTTCACTTACAGACTACGAATTAGGATTAAGATTGGATTGCAATTAAACCAATCAGAGCAAAGTTTATTAAAGTCAAGTTTAGTGAATCTTGCTTCAATTGGCGAAATTGCGATCCAATCTTAATCCATAGACTAATACATGCATTAAGTGGAACCTGCCTTCTGCCGCCAGCAGGTGTAGAAAGTGTAACACGGCGTAGTCCGAAGGAACAGATGCCGGCGGAAATGGAGACTGTCGAAACGGATGCGTATCATCGCCGAGGGAGAGTAATGGCATCCGCGGCGAGTGCACGACGTTCTCGCGGTTCGTCTGTTACGTTACGAGCGTGAGGCGCGGAGGTGGTCGGTCACAATTTTATCCTCGCTGATTCATCGAGAGTCTCGTATGGCCGGGAACGGCTGTGCCAAAGGAACCAGAATCGCGGAATCTCATAGAACGACATCAACAATAGCGAGTTTGCAGGGAAAGCGTGGTGCCTGAACTGGTGGTTGTGTACACGCTTTCATTGAGTGTTTTCCGCGAGCCAAAAAACTTGAAAACGTCGATCCAGTTGCCGTGCTTCTTCTAATTATCGATCCTGGCATATCGACGATGAAGTGAGGCCGGAATCGCCTATCGAACGCTTTCCTATCAGCACTCGCGAGGCGATTAGTAAATCTCTTCGTTCTGCGTGTCTCATGGAACATCGTGACGTGTACGTATAGTCCAACCTCTTTCATCTGTTCGTCGTTCGATTTCTTAATTTGTCGATACGATTGTACGATTAACGATCGCGGCTCGAATAAACGATCGCACAGATTTCGTAGATAGAAACGTGACGCCAAGAAATAAATATTCGCAATTGAGTCCAGCAGGACATGTTCCATCCCAGAAGTGTGAATTTAGCCCTATTTGTAAACTTTCTTCTATTTTGCGAAACTTTTCCGTGCTGTAAATAATAATTGGTAATTCATAATCAAAAGGGCGAGTCTATGTGATGTAGTTTGAAAACGATTTTGATCGTAACAAATTGAAAGAGAAAAGGACATTTTGCATCCTGGATACTGACCAAATATGTATTGTTTTACAGGTCCTGTAGTACACCACGATGTTGTAGCATCATCGATGACACGATGAAACTTGTCTGACCCTTATTGTCTACTCAAGCCAGACAAACTGTAAAGTTATCCGCATGTACATCACCTCGTAATGTCTGCAAATGTTCAATTTGCAAATCCGCCGCCAGCTATAAGCTTACCCAATATGTCAGTACCGCCACCTTCGGCTCCGAACTTATCGGCGCCACCGCCAAATTTAACCACTATAAACACATCGGGAAGCTATCAGCACCGGTACACAAATCACAGAGAGGGAAACCGTGCTTACTACAAACAGTTCAGGCCGTATCATCCGCCAAAAGCCCCTGTTGGAGGACAGGACACGCTGCAGGATGAATTCGACGGAAAACGCCTGCGGAAGTCTGTCATGCGAAAGACTGTCGACTACAATTCTGCCATCATCAAGAGCCTGGAAGTAAATATCGATGTCATTGTGTGGAATAAGACCCACTGTATCAATTTTTTGTCATTATAACTAAGGTGTATCTTCGTTCTTGTAGAATCGGGTGTGGCAACGGGACTACAGAGACCGACGCGCGCTTCAACCAGATGTAATATACTATCCTGACCTACTCCCCCCGCCAAGTTATATTGACAATCCGATAAATGCAGTCACTACGAGGTTCGTGAAGACTGCTACCAATAAAATGCGTTGTCCAATCTTTTGTATGGCCTGGACACCGGAAGGTAGACGTCTCGTTACTGGCGCCTCGAGCGGAGAGTTCACCTTATGGAACGGCCTTACTTTCAATTTCGAAACTATCCTACAGGTATGTTTATATATATATTTTTTTTTATATGTGTGTGTGTTTTCGAAATATGTCTCCTAAACTGCGTTCCGATTCCACACCCAGGTATGTACTTAGAAGACAGTATTCGTAATGTGAATTATATTTCTGGGTGCACTCAGGTGGGGAATCAGGGTCCAGGGAATGCAGAAGTGTAACTCATGTATATTAGTGGGTGCACATCCGGATGGAGAATCGGAATGCGTCCTTGGATATGTGTTACAATCAAGGATTTTAAGTGTCAACGGCTGTGTTCAGAAAACAAGCGATTAGTGAGCGGCCAGTGATTATTGGTCTTTACTGTTAGATCCCCAAATCTAGACCAATTGTGTTGACGAATTTCTCAACAATCATTGCGTTCTCTGAACGCAACCAGTTCTAATTTACTACGCGTGAAAGAGATTTTAAGCAGAATTTTGCGACTTCAGCTTTGTTTTCATGTATGTCTCGTGTTCTCACGTAAAAGTTATCTTCTTTCTCTACAATAGGCATTTGCATAGATTTTTCTTCTAATTGTCAGTACCATCTCTTTCTCTGTGACACTTATACAACCTAAAAAAGAAAGAAAGAAAGAAAGAAGGAAGGAAGGCCTTCGATCGAATCTCTTGTGTATATTTGGTTTTATGAGGGAAAAATTAATTTCTCTGTTCAGGCGCATGACAGCCCGGTAAGGACAATGGTATGGTCGCACAACGAGAGTTGGATGGTAACGGGGGACCACGCGGGCTACGTGAAATATTGGCAGAGCAACATGAACAACGTCAAGATGTTTCAGGCACACAAAGAAGCGATTAGAGGACTCAGGTATATCATCCACCACACTAGTCCTTACGTCTCTTGCGCTACTGTTGTCGATGATCCGTCCATCTTTGCAGTAGTTAGGGCACTGGACGTAATTCTTACTCTCTTCTTTTTCCGGTTTTGTGCCGTTTCTGGCAGAGCAATAGTGATACTTGTATGGGTACACAGATGAACTTTTACGTGTTTCAAATGTAAAGCATTGGACGATCAGTTGAAATGCAATACGTTCGTCATGGAATCATGGAATGAACCGTGAGAAACACTATACTTGCTGAATATCGTGTCTCGTTATCGTATAACCGTGTAAAACGAGTCTCGTCACAATCTTTTGCCGAATTAGGGGATTTTCTCGGAGCAACCTGACCGAAAGCCCGGTACTTCAATCTTGATTCGCTTTCGCGCGCTCGCGGGAAACGTTTCGGGTATGTCGCAATGATCTCATGCCCTTTATAAGCAGAAATCCTAGAATAAATTCGCGTTTTACGGTAAATAAAGGATATACTTTATCGCGTGGGACTTGCAACAAAAAAATAATACACCGATCGATCTATTCCTCCTGTGTGCGTCGTTTGTCGTCGCGTTAAAACCCTTCCGTGAAGTAGAAGTTGGTACGAGGTAGTGTGAATTTTTTGCGTACATTATACACGTATGCGCGCATCTCGACATAATTTATAATTTCTGTATCTGGTAGAGTCTTAGGGACCTAACTCGACTTTACCTACTCTGTCGGTACGGTATCTATAAATGCGCTCATCAAATCGAAGTGGCACAAATCTCGATTAAGATTATCGCAACGCTATTAGGTCCTTACGGCTCTCTCGTTTTTAAGGAGGTTTATGTGGCTAGATTATTTATTCGGCAAAGAGATGTATGCTTTAGAATAACAAATAAAAAAAAGGAACAATAAATATGGCGACACATACCTAGTCGAGGTTCCCGTATAATAATAATAATAATAAAAGATGAAATATCCTGTGTCCTTCTTTATACATATATTCTAAGTTTCTCAATAAAGTTAAATAAAGACATCAATCACACACGTTATTGCATGGCTATGAGGATAAAAATATTTTGTCTTTGGTTTTGTGTCACTTATGCCCTTTTGCTGACGAGAGGAAGAGAGAGAGAGAGAGAGAGAGAGAGAGAGAGAGAGAGAGAGTGAGTGAGTGAGTGAGTGAGTGAGTGAGTGAGTGAGAAAGTGAGTGAGTGAATGAGTGAGTGAGTGAGTGAATAAGTGAGTGAGTGAGTGAATGAGTGAGTGAGTAAGAGAGAAAGAGAGAGAGAGTGTGACAAACCGATTATAAGACAATTCATGTACACTTCGGATATTTCTTTTATTTTTTTGTGCAATAAACGTTAAATTTTGAAAACGAATATTGCTCTTGGCACATCACTCGGTGGTCATGTGGCATCAAAAATAAATTCTGATATGAGGAAAACGGAACTGCCCGTTCCCCGTTGTTCTTGACGAACAATAGCGGGATTTGATTTGAGTGCCAGATATGACTGTCGCGGATGGTTTTTTGTTTATTTACATATGCATACACACACACGCACACACACACGCACACATATATACATATATATATGTATATGTGTGTATATATGTATGTACACACAAATTGCATATCTCGATAATTTCCTTTTATTACTGATCTCTGTTTATTCTTCGACGGCACGTTCATGAGGGCTCGGATATGTGTTTTTCATACCTGTCGCTGTGCTCTAATTCAATTCGGGTACATGGTCCATTACGTGTGTGCACTATTCTTTGCGTATATACTTGAAGGTCAGGCTCTTTTCTCGCTTCATCATCGCGTATCTCGCTTTCAGTATAATTCGACAAACGACCGAGAGAATCGTCCAAAAAGAAAACTGAAGCTACAATTCTATTAGAGAATAACAGCTTGTGTTTTATGCATTGATTTGATATTACAATTTCTATATTATATGTGTAATATTTTCCGACGGAATTGTAATCTCTTGCAAAATCATCCGTACCGTAATTATCCGTATCGGTACCGTTGGAGACGTATCGCGGTTTAAAGTACATATTCGGTGAATATTCTCGCTTAGACACGCATGTGTATGCTATGATCCTGGTAACTTTCTCCACAAGGTCCTTCCCGACGAGCCATGCCGATCGTTTGTTAACGCTCTCTATTTTGCTTCTATACATTTCGACATTGCATGCGATAATAATTAATGAACATGATGACGAATCAGTAATAAATGTAGGCAGTTGTATGTTTCGCTCTCTTGGCGACCAACATGTCTCGACTTGTGTCGCAAGAACAATGTCCGCAAGATGTATCATATGTGTTTCGTTTCTCTGCCGTACAAAAAAAAGAAACAATTATTATTATTCGACAGATCTTCCTTCCTCGCTTCGTTATACTAAACGATTTAATTTTGTAAAATGGGAATTTCAATAAAAACGAATGAAAAGACAACGACTATGTATACCATTTTTCTTAGCCATTTTTAGAGTACTGTGTCAAACTATCATTTTAGCTCTTTTTTTTCTTTCTTGAGTTGATTATTTTCGGCATGCTAAGGCTCACATTGTAAGAGGAAATCATTTCTTTAAAAAAAAAAGTCCCGTGTATCGTTTGGTTAATCGTAAAGTTTGCCTTTTTCGCAAATGGATATCGGTGAATACTAAATGAACGCATTTATCACATACAGCAGCGTTGAATGTTCAAATGTAACTCGTTTTTTTGGCCGGGTAGTTTCAGCCCGACGGATCACAAATTGGCGACCTGCAGCGACGACGGGACCGTCAGGATTTGGGATTTTCTTCGCTGTCACGAAGAACGCATTCTCCGAGGTATGCAGTCTCTTCATTTCATCCTTTATACAACGTGTTTTGCACCTACACAATACAAAACTCGACGCTTTGTCTGTCATTTATTCCGTTATTTGAGTATCTATTGATTCCAACGTCCTTTAGAAGTGATGAGGTTGCACCAAGAACACGGTACAACCAATAATTTCCCGAATAGACCTTGCTTCTTGTATCAACGAAGAAGGAGTTTTCTCAACAAGGTCTAGAAATTGTCGCACCTGATGGCGTCTCTCTGATTGTTCTTCTCGTAGGTCACGGCGCGGATGTCAAGTGCGTGCACTGGCATCCCCAAAAGGGTCTAGTCATTTCCGGCAGTAAAGACAATCAGCAGCCGGTTAAGTTGTGGGACCCGAAGACCGGACAGTCCCTAGCCACGTTGCACGCACACAAGTCGACGGTGATGGACGTCAAGTGGAACGAAAACGGTAACTGGCTGGTGACGGCGTCGAGGGACCACCTCTTGAAACTGTTCGACATCCGAAACCTGAGTCAGGAAGTGCAGACCTTCCGCGGCCACAAGAAGGAGGCTTCCAGTGTTGCCTGGCATCCAAGTCACGAGGGCCTTTTCTGCAGCGGCGGTAGCGACGGTGCTATACTCTTCTGGCATGTGGGGTACGTGTGTGTCGTTGTTCTCCTTTTTCTTCCGGCCTTTCTTTAAGCATGACGTTAATTTCCCCGCATATCCGAATACTAGGGCTGACAAAGAGGTAGGCGCGATCGAGCAGGCGCACGACAGTATAGTCTGGACACTGGCCTGGCATCCGCTGGGACATATTTTGTGCTCGGGCAGCAACGATCACACTTCGAAATTCTGGACGCGCAACAGACCGGGCGACTTGATGAGGGACAAGTATAATCTCAACACGTTGCCGGCGGGCTCGGCCGGCGTCGACGATCATGAAATTGGTATCTTGAAATATCCCATAAAATATATTTTAATAATACAGAGATAGATAGTTAGATAGATAGATGGATGGATGGATGGATGGATGGATGGATAGATTTTATCCTGGGGTGGAACTTCTGCAGTTACAAGGTGAAAAGAGGCTGTGAAAAAGTATTAACTAGAGCGAGTCATTAACTGGAATGTAAAAAATATAAACATAGAAAAAAATATAAGGAAAATATAAAAAAATTGAAGAAAAGTATGTAAGAAAGATATTTCGATAGATATTTCTGCTGCGAAATAATGAAGTGGCCACGAAGGGAATGTAGTATAGGAATAATTTGACAAAGTAAGACCTGGGAAAAATTGCATTGTTTGAGACGTGAATTTATCCCGCGTAGCTGACGAAGCAGCGGTAATACCCGGCATGGGACCAGAGGACAGGATCAACGCCGATGGCGAGTCCGAGGATAAGAGCGGCGGTATTCCAGGATTGGATCTGGACCATGCGGTGGACGAGGGCAAGAAGTTTGCCAACAAGAAAGTTCCGTACAGCAAGCCGATACCGCGGAACTTCCAAGCTCAGTGGAACGAGATGGAGGCCGAGGATATTGAGCAGGTCGAGGCTCTGAACGCGTTCGTAAATCAGTTACTCGAGACCACGCCTGGTGCTGTGCCGTTGAACGAAGTTACGCCCGACGCTATTTTCTTGTATGGGAAAATGATCCCCGTAGAATGTGAGTGGAGAAGAAAATTGTATATACTATATTAGTATATAATACGATATAACGTAACATATAATACATAATATATATGATATATTTTAACAAGAAAGGGTGTGTGTAAGACAGACAGAGAAAGAGAATCGTGGCACAAGCGGATTGCCTCTTGATATAGTCGGCGTTGTATATGCTGTATTAGATTCTCTGGATTGGAACTTTTTAAACGTGTCGTCTATAACGAGCAGTAGGAATATGTTCATAAGAAGTAAGAATAAGAAATTAACCAATCATAGTCGATTATATTCTTCTTAGCTTCGAGTATGGTCGGTTAATTTCTTATTCTTACTTTTTATGAGTATACTCCTACTGCCCATTGTAGACTACGCTTGCTATCAAACGGGGTCTACAATGAGAATTTACGACTTAAAAAATTGACCAATCCCAGTCGAATTATAGAAGAGAAGTCAGTTATGTTTGGTCAATTTCTTAAATTTTACGCCTTAAATTCTCATTGTAGATCCTGCTTTAATCCTGGTATAATAGGTGCTTTGAGCTCTGAGCCTTAAGAAATTGACCGATCACAGTCGAATATGAAGAGAATAATCGACTGTGATTAGTCAATTTCTTAAGGCTTTTAGAACTTCAAGCATTTATTGTAGGCCAGGACTTACACAGTTTTCCATATATATGTAAGACTTACATATATATGTAAGATTGAAATGATTATAATTACAGTCATTGCAACTCTACCATTATAGTTTAGTCATTCATGTGATTTTTTCAACCTTATGTGTTTGCGTTGACTGTATAAGGTTGAAAATCGCGCGACTGTCTAGGGAATAGTACAGCATACGTGACGCCACCTATACTCGCTAGGTTACCACTCTGAATCATTTCGAATACACGATGCGACGTAATCGCTAAATCTGAATTACTTTTACCAGCGGGGTCCAAGCTAGCGGAGGCGATCAGCAAGGGGAACGAGGCTATAAACAAGCTGGTGTTCTCCGGCGAAATAGAGGAGCTGCGGGACGTGGTGGGTCCGCCGGACAACGTGGACGACGCCGAGGAATACCTGCAGGATGACGGTGAGATCGACTACTCGAAAGTGCCGGACATAGATCTGCCGCCGCCGCTGCCCAGCTCCAAGTTCGCGCAGAACCCGGAACTGCTGAAGACGCTGAATCGCGGCGGCAAGCGCAAGTTCGACCAGCTGATAGGCTGGAGCGACGGCGGGGCGAGCGACCGCACGTCCAAGATTCACCAACCGGTGTTCGGCGGCATGATGACGGAGGACTCGCAGTCGAGCGACACCGATCTCAGGTTCGGGAAGAACGCCCTGTCGATCGACGGCAACTCCTACCACGGGCCGGACCACGAGGACCATCACAGAAGAGGGCCTCACGGCGAGCCCGTGAGCAGTCGCGGCGACGAGGACCTGAGGTTCGGCTTGGGGCTCGGCAGGCCCGGCGGCTCGCACAGCGACTACGATTCGCGCAACAGCTTCGCCGACAAAGACTTCCGTTTTCCCTCGAAGAAGTCGCTGGACAACGACCTGTACGACGAGCGGCACGAGCAGCGCGACGGTATCGGTCGGTGGGACGACGAAAAGGGCGACGGGCAACGCAAGTCGGCGGACGGCGGCGTGTACGGCGGCAACGGCTTCGACAAGCGCGACAATCTGGCCGGGGGACCCGGCATGCACCACATGGTCGGCATGCCCCACGGCATGTCGAATCACCACAACATGCAGAACATCAACCCGAACATGCCGCCGCCGTTGCCGAGCTTGGTGCCGCACCCCGGGATGTCGCAGCACCCCGGCATGCAAGGCAAGCCGCCGCACCCGGGCATGCCCGGCATGGCGGACGGGCCGATGCCACCGCACATGATGCCGCACCATCCCGGCATGCACCCGGGCTTCGGGCCGAACTTCCGGCCGCCGCCGAACGGGAACTTCGGGCCGAACCACTTCCGGCCGAGCCCGGGCCTGCCGCCGTTCGGCCCGAATCAGGGCCCGCCGCCGCCGCCGCCGTTCGGCAACGGTTTCCAGGGGCCCCCGAATTTCCGCGGCCCGAACGGCGGCCCCCTGAACTTCGACCGGCCGGGATTCGGGCCGAGCTTCCGCGGCCAGAACCCGCCGAGTCAGCTGAACAACTTCAACTCGAGCTACGGCAAGTACGGCGGCAAGAACGGGCCCAGTCGCGGTATGAGTCGAAGCGGCGGCGGCGGTAGCGGCGGCGGCGACAGGAGCGGCTACAACAATCGCGGCAGAGGAGGGCGCGATAACGATCAGTCGAGAAATTCGAGGGCCAGGGACAATTACTGAGAGAGATCGGCCCGTGGAGAACTGCGAAGCAACATGTAACAAGCGGGGCACTTGCTTCTCTCTCGGTACCTTCTGATGTGCACGATGTTTGCGAACTTGTTAGTAATGAAGAGCCGCCGGACACTGCGGACAGTGAGGATCGTCCCACTCGCGCGTTCTGCGCGGTTGGTTGGTCCGTCAGTGCGAGCGTGTAATATATAATGTGCCGGTTTATCGGTGTCCTCAAACTCGACGTTTACGGACTCACTTACTACCTGTGTGCGTGTGCGAAAACGCACTATATTCTTAGACGGACTCTATACACAATATATTTTCGTGATTCGCTCAGCGTGGGAGGGGGGGGG